AATCTCTCAATCACCATTAAAATTCCTCACTTTCTCTCTCTAAAATCTACTCCTAAACTAACCCTAAATTTAGAGAGAGAAGCTCTCAACTAAGCTAAAATTATGATAAAAATCTAAAGTGAAACTTGCTCTAAAAAATTGCCCCAAAATTGGGTTACAAAGATTTATATAGTAGGCACGAACAAAAACCGAGCAAGGCGAATACCCAGGGAGGCGTGGCTGCGCGGGCAAGGAGGCGCGCCCGTGCAGATCTGGGTTTCTTCGATTCTTCTCGCGGCTTCCTGAGTTTGCTAAGGTCTTCGAATGAACGCGCAATATGATGATGATGAACACTAAGAGTGGCAGTCCCAAAAAGCACTTGATAGTGGGTTCAACACCCCATCTTCATGAGAGCACGGCTTAAGAGCGCAAGAACTGGAACTTGGAGAATCCACTTCCTTGCATCTTGAGATTTCCAATTGCTATGAGCTTGCTCCAAAAGCATCTTCCACCTTAGTAAATCACCAATATCAAGACTCGGACCTCGTACAATACCTACAACCACAAAAATAGAGCAAATAAAGGAGAAAGGAGTTGAAAAACCAACAAAATGAACAACAACTACAAAATAAGGGAGGAAAGGTAAAACCAAGACCAAATGCATAAAACTAGGCATTTATTGAGCATGAAAGCTATGAAAAGAGGAAGAAAACAACCTAAATTCTCATCAAATGGGTGCCATTTATGACTCCCATCAGATACAATCCTATGACCTGTCAACTTTTTGATGAGGATGCTGTATGGAAAAAGTTGTATGAGGTAATTGTCAATAAGTTTATTTTGATTTTATTCTTTTATGGATCAAATAGGGATCTTTTTAAACTAATAAGCTTTTATTTTTGTGATAATTTGATGCGAATGTATGATTGTTACAAAAGCATAAGTCTGCCAAAATTTTTAGAAAGAAGGGATGTAAGCATTATGATAAATTATGCACAATTTATGGGGATACGTACAACCGCTACCGGTGCTAGTTCACATCCTTCTACTAAAAGCCCTTTTGGGAGTGAGGATGAAGATGACACCGATGGAGAAGGGGGTGACTCGAGAAAACAATGTGAAGAGGGTCCTAAAAACAAAAAAAAATCAAGCCTAATGTCAATCGTAAGAAACTTAGGATGTTAATGTAGCAATGGCGGATGCCTTGGTTACAATGAGTGAAAATTCCAAGAAGAAACTTGAACTTTTTGAGAGAAAATTTAATGGCAATGATGAAGGTGGGCATCAGTCCAAGGAGGGTCATGATTTGCTCATGGAATGTTTAGATGCACTAAGTGCTCTTGAGGGAATAGATGGAGCTTCATTTGCAAAGGCAACTAAACTAATACATGATGATCCATTGTGGAGGAAAATGTTTCTTAGATTTCCACATGATAGGAAGATAGATTTTGTGCTCAACCTTTAAGAATTATCTTGTTAGTATAAATTTTTTTCCCTTCAATAATGCATTTTTTAGTGTAAAACTCACTTTAGATCTTTAAGAAACCGCATTTGCAAAGAATTTCAAATATAACAGGTCACCAATATGTCCAGAAATGCTTAACGGTCATCCAATGATATGTTATGATTTGCTTCGAATGACTCCTCAGATCTTTATTATCTTGTGTGAAGAATTGAAAAAAAGGGAAAAGTTGAAAGATTTCAAATTTATATCAGTTCAAGAACAAGTTGCAATGTTTCTTCTTATTATTTCTCATAATTCGAGGCATAGACTTATAGTGGATATATTTCAACATTCCTTAAAATCTACTCACCGCCATTTTCGAAAGGTTTTGTATGCCATTGCATCATTATCAAAGTATTGGATTGTTCCTCCGGCATTTGATGAAACACCTCCAGAAATAAAAAAAAAAACCCAAGATACTATCCGATTTTCAAGGTAATTTTATGTCATTATTTTTTAATTTTTACATATTATCTATGTATTAATTCGTTAAGTATGTAGTTTGAATATAACGTTTATTATACAATTGCATAGGAGCTATTGATGGAACTCATGTATCAGCTCGTGTGCCACAAGATGATCAAATTCCCTATTGTGGAAAAGAAAAAAAGCCTACGATGAATGTAATGTGTACTTGCTCGTTTGACATGAATTTTACATTTGTGATGGCTGTGTAGGAAGGTTCGACAAATGATTCAAAATTTTTTTGGAGAACAATTACAAATGTAGAAGAGACCAAGTTTCCTATGCCTCCTACTAGAAACTATTATCGTGTAGACTCAGGCTATACAAATATGCCAGGATTTCTTTCACCGTATCGTGGAGAACGATATCATTTGCGTGATTATAGAGGAGCAACAAGCCCACAAGGTCCTGAGGAAATATTTAATTATACACATTCTTCATTGCGAAATGTTATTGAAAGATGTTTTAGGGTATTAAAAGCTAGATTTCCCATTCTCAGAGATATGCCTTCTGTAGACACCCACTTGTGTCTCCCCAAAACCAAACCCAGTGATGAGTACCTTTCACGTCGAATCATAATCGAATGAAGTGAAAGTGTGGAAAGTCTAGTGTTGCGGTTATTTTTATTTCTTTTCTTTCTCTCTGTTTTGAAAACCTATTTTGAGAAAACAGCCAATCCAGTTTGGTTGGTCCATGGCAAGCCCAATTCCGATGAATAATGAGGAAGTTATGGCCAAATTACTAAACTGGGCCCGATTTGATCTTTATATGCGGCCCAATGATCTAGATGAGGGCCTAATATTAATTTATCATTCCTAATGCAATTAGAATTGATTATATGCTTCTAGATTCTTCTAGAAGATTCTTTTCATTCCTAATCTAATTAGCATTGATAAATTGACTTTAGTTTACTTTTTAGAGTTTTAATTAGAATAAAAGAAATGTTTTTAAGGAAAAAACGATTTTGCCCTCTCGTACGGAAAAAATTTATCAAATTAAGAAAACGCGTGGAAAACTGGATTCCAGCGCCTGGCGCCATACCTGGCGTTTGGCGCTAGACCTGGCATCTGGCACTAACCTGGCGTTTTGCGCTAGCCTGGCGTTTTATTCTTTTCGAAACTCTGATTTGATTTTTTTATCATATCCGGTTGATTTTCTCTATAAATAGCCTCCTAAAATTATGTTTTCAATCATAAAATATCATCAATTCTTCTCATCAACAACTATCATCAATTCTTCTCATCAACTCTCTAATTCTCTTCTCTCTCTAAGCTAAAGCTTATTCTCTCTCTCTTTCTAAACTAGCCCCTTTGCATACAAAATTTCGCATTCACAAGATCTAGAAACACATAGCCAAGTTCAAAGTTGCCTTCGCCCTAGACGTGAAAGGTTTTAATTTCTGAGGGTTTGGTCCCAAATCTCTCTTTCAATTATTTAATTTAATTGTTTGATTATTATTTTCCTTGAAGTTACTAACACGTGTATTTTGTTATTAGAAAGAGATACGAGGCATCCAAGTAAGTGCTTTTAATTGATTTATTGATATTATGATTCCTAGTATCATGTCTAGGTTGTAATTATGTTTCCTAGTGTCATGTCAGGGTGTTTTGATCTTCCTAGTATCATGTTTAGGTAATAACTATAATTTCTAATATCAAATATGACAATTATGATTTCTATGATGCCTTCTATTTTCTTTCCTATTCATGTTAGTATCATGTTAGGCTAAAGCTTGGATTTTTATTGTTTAGTGACATGCTAGGATTTGTTATTAATCTTGTTAGTATCATGCCTAGGATTTTGCTATTATTATGCTTTAACATGATTATGATTATTTCTATAATTGTTATAATTATTAATATCATGTTGCTTGATATTTATTGTTATTGCTTGATCACGCCTTTTATGCACGTTTAAAGGGAATTTGTACTTGTAATCACGCTTAATAAGATAATTAATAATCTTGTTTAGGGTTAATTTGATTATAATTCAAGTGATCGCCAATAATAGTTTTGTTTGTGTATTAATATTCAACCTACATAGATTAAATAGGTTTAGGGTTAATCCTAATGAGTGCATGTTAGTTAGAAAACACACATGAATACGATCAGAATAAAGTAGAGGCCTATTATTAGGGTAGGTTCAATCTCTTTTAGGTTGGATTTGTACCTTCATCCCCGAACTACTAGTCATGGTTCCAGACCTATTGGAGTTGACGATCTCCTGGATCGTTAAGGGGTGTAACCTTCACCCTGTGAACGGTTTACAAGTTCCTAAAACTTGTTGGCGACTCTTTTGCTCTATCTTCTTTCCCTTTGGATGCCACCGTACTTTAGTGTATGATCACGATGGTGTTCAAGTTTGGGGTAATGCTTGAAATATTCCCTACACCTTCATATGACTTAAAACGACAAAAATATATAATTTTGTCGTGCTGTGTTGTCCACAATTTCATAAAAATGTACAAGGACGGAGATCCTTCGTTCATACAGTATGCGGATGAAAATGTTGAACTAGAAGATTTTGCAATCAACAACAATGGACCCGAGGATTTAGTAACTCATTCTGTAAGTCAACAAGAACTTCAAAGAATGACTTAGTTTCGAGATCGTTTGGCAACAAGATTGTGGGAAAGACAAAATTCACAATGAAAGTCTTCAACGAGAAATAAATATTACATTGCATTTGACTATTTTATTGTTACTTTTTTTTTTCGTAAGTGTTCCTTTAAATTTTGTTAAAACCTAATTCAATCAATAAATTTTTTATTGAAATAATAGGTATATTTTTTTTGTGAAAATAAAAGCAGCTATTAAAAAAAATAAAATAATAATAATAATAATAATAATAATAATAAAATATCGGTAGTGTAAGAGTTGATTAAAGCTATAAATGATTTGGTAGTAAGTTTTGAGAGTTGATTATAAACTCAAAACTGAAAAATGAAAACAGTTTTTATAAACAAAAACATTAAAATCTAAAATCAGTTTTCAGTTTTTAAAAAACAAAAAATTGAAAATTGAAAACTGAAAACAATACCAAAGGAATCCTAAAGGTTTGTTCCTTTGGTCATCTCACTCACTCATCAATCTGCCTTGCTCTTTTAATTACACTTGATTGACACGTAAAATCGGAAAGTCTCAACCCAGAAAATACGTCAAACCCTATCTCCTCTCTCTTTCTCGTATTTAATCATCTGTTGCCCTAACTTTGTCCTCCTCTCCAAACCCTAATCCCCAAATTTCCATGAAAATCAATTCTGATCAACAAATTAGGGTTTCCGCCATGAAAACCATATCTTTCTGATGATCACTTCACCCTCAAAATTCATAGCAGCAGCAGCAGCAGCAGCTTCATCTCAATAGCTTCTTCGACTTTCGACAATGGAGGGTGGAAACGCTGTTGAAGATCCTGAGTCATGGGAAGTGGCGGATGTGGAGGAGAGTATGAAGAGATTGCTGCTTTCTTCCTCTATCAAAGACTCTGTTACTTCATCTTCTCCAAGCAATTCTATTTCAGCTGATGATTTGTCAACTTCTGGTTCGCTCAATTTGGCCTTTTCAACTGGTGCTGAAAACGCTGGGCTTTTGGATGATGCTATTAATCAGGTTGATCAGTTTCTTCGTGAAGCTTTGCAAAATCCTCGTGAACGCTTGTCGAGTAAGTTTATTTGCTGTTTCTTTGAATTTTTTATTCAGATTCGTGTATTTTTCTGTGCTTTGCTAAGTTGAATTGAAATTAGGCTGATTCTACGTTGCGTATGTAATATATAATTAGACTAAAAACGCAGAAAGTTATGTTTGTAGAATAGTTTGATTAATTTTTGGTATCGAAAAGTTTCGATGAGATATTGGTGAAGCTGTTATAGGACGAGGTGGGATTGGTGAGGACATTATTTTCGAAGTGATCAGTGGTGTATTGCTAACTTCATTGTCCTGTCGACGGTGTCTATTCCCACTTTTTGTTAGGTGTGACTTAATGAAGATAAATCTTGAGTTTCTACCTTGCCGAAATCAAGAAGAGAAGAAATGCATGATAGCAGTGTATTTGTGGATTTATGTTGTCTCGTTATGGTTAGACAGTTCCTGGTACAGGAATGTGGCAATGCTAGTTGACTTGTGGTTGTCTCTAGCTGGGCTGTGAATCGAGCATTAGCTAATGAATATAAAAGTCATAATGCCCCAATGTTGCGCCCAGAAAGATAAAGCAACAATTCTATGGGCATCAAGAAATTTGGTATATTTCTTGACAATTCATTTTGGATTAACATTTAACCAGCTGGAAATATTAATCGGATGAAGGAGCTGCTGTTTGCTACTTGAGTGTATTTTTTTTGTACTAAGGTGCTAATTGAGTTCCATTGATGAATTATGTGATTCACAAATACACGTGGCCATTATTTAGGACCATTTGTAGTCTATATTGCATTTTTGAGCTTGAATCCATCTTGAGTTGAATTGAGCACTGATGGAACTGCAATGGTGTTGAAGCTGTAGTCTTCGTGGAATAAGTTTCTTCGTGAGCCTAATTACATCTACCTAATGCCAAATTTTGCATATGCATTGACATTATAGTTGTCAATTTGGGGACTTGCAGTTTGACCTTAGTTAGGACTTAGGATAATTAGCTCATTTCCTGCATTTATGATATGTGAGAAGGAAAGTATTTTGTCTGCTGTTGTTCGGTTTGGGTCTTGATATGGAAACTTTTTGTTGATTTGCTTGTAAATACACAATCTGCTGCGTTTGTGGAAACTGATTTGCAGTTTAATTTTATATATATCTATATTTTTATTTTTTGTTTATGTGTGTATCTATTATTCTTAGTATATATAAGGGATCCCACTACATGGACATTCTGTATGATTGTATAAGTTGTGTAATTTGTTTAGCCGTGAAAGATGTAGTTTAGAGTGTTTGCATCCTCACTTTCTTAGGGATGTTTATAGGTTAAGATTGTTTTTGCCTTTTGGTATCACTAAGATGTAGCATGTAGATTGCTGGTTTAAACTCTCGTCTCCCTATGATATATCTGCTTTGAGGACCATGATACCATCATTCATTCATTTGTATTGTTTTTGGAGCTCATCAATTGTAGGATGAATTATTAAGGCTCGTAATTAGGCTTATTTTCCTCTTATTTTTCATTCCTCCCTTTTCTCCTCACATAGCTCTATGTGGTGTTTGTGATATTTCTCTGTTGATTGTGACTAATTTAGTGAGATCCATATCAGAGCTTTATGTTTCATTGTGTATGAATATGAGTAGTTTATTAACGTATACCATGCTTTAAGCTGTTCTGTACCAAAATGATGATGTTTGTTTTTCTTTGCAGCCGTCTCATAAATGCAATCCTAAAATTTTTAATTTTTTTTAAAAAAAATTCTTGAAGTCATGTAATCAACGACATATCTTAAAAAAAATTGAAGTCATGTCACCATGATTCCACAAAAATTGTGCTTTTGCTCAATTTGGTTTCGGTTATTTGTTTTGCAACTTGTCAAGCTATTATTAGTTTATTACCATAAAATTCAGTTCCATGTCATAGTTCTGTTATGAACCAAGGACTTAAGAGCATCATTAGGATTTCATGTGTCTTTTTGAGTTGCAACTTCTAATCTTCTGAGTGGTTTTGATGTGTATTGTCATGTTGATGTCAATTTATTTACAAGTTCTGATGTTGAATATATGATTGTTGATTTCAGTCCTGCGAATGGAACAAGATGTTGAACAGTTTATTCAGGATCCTACGCAGCAACAAATGGAATTTCAACAGCTTCCAACTTCTTATTTGAGGCTTGCTGCTCATCGTGTTGCTCAGCATTACTTTCTGCAGTCCATGGTCTTGCTAGATAATAGTCTCCCTGATGGATCGGGCTCCAGAATTATAGTCCAAAAGACTTCAACTGAGTGTCGTTTGCCTCGTATCCGCCTGGCAGATATCCCTGTAAACTTGCCTCAAGAAGACAATGGCATTTTCAAGGTTGCCATTAAGCAAAGGCCTCAAAAGCATTCATCTTCATCCAGCAGTGGTAATTCTGGATCTCAAAAAGCAAATCATAACAAAAGTGTCGAGGAAAGAAAAGAGGAGTACAACAGAGCTCGTGCACGAATTTTTAATTCTAATAACCCAAATGGTTCTCCTGGTTTAAAACCTGTAGTTGAGGTAAAAAAAGCAGATAACTTGCAGCTTCCATCTTTGGGACCACCAAAAGTTGATGAGAAACCTGCATCTGGAGCTTCTGACTTGAGTAGCGGGAGAGCTGTTTCAGTAGTTGATTCTTCAAGTGGTAGCAGTAGGTCAGCTAGAAGTAGAACAGAAAAAGACCCTGTCAGTAGGTACAGACCCAATAATAGGGTTGCTATTTTTAGAGACCGTGAAATCGACCGCAAAGATCCTGATTATGACCGGAATTATGATAGGTATGCGCTTTATTTGATATGGTTTGGGTTTTCTTATCGGGATAGTTTCATTCTTGCCTTCTTGAATCCTTCAATCCTGTACCCTAGAAAGAAGAGAGATTAAAATCTAATTTTCTTTGCTCTACTAACTTGGCCTTTTCAGTATATATGTTCACTCACTCGAATGCTTTCTAGCTGATCCAGGTGTATAAGCATGAACAAAAGAGTTACATGATATTACACATTGTTTCCTTTTTATACTGTCTCTGTGTGTGTGCTTGTTTGGGGGGGGGGGGGTGGCGGAGAGAGAAGGGAGTGTTGTGTGTTAATTTATTGTTGGTTTTAAAGCTTCGGCTGCAATTTGAATGGATATTTTCCCCTTTACCCCCTCAATACCCCCATAATATACAGGGATATATATTTCTGCTTGGTCAGCGTAACTGCATAAGTCATTTAAACCTTTAATTATAGACCTACATCTAAGTTGCACTATTTTACATGTAAAGTGAACATAACTTGTCAATTGAAGTTGCTTATTACATTCTTGATATATAAAATCTGCCTGTAGGCGGCGTTTTAATTTGCAAACTTCAGTTATCAACCTATCATCACCTTTAAATTTGTTGTATTTTTGCTGTATGTGCTTTTTGTTCTCACACGATAAAATTTATTGAAGAGCTGATCTTCCCCAAATAGCTCTTGGGTTGCTTTTAGGTGATTTCATGTGTAGCTTGTATATTACTTTAAATATTCCTTTTTCTGGACTTTATATCATACTTCATCCGTTCTATTAATATTGCAACAATGGACTTTTTGCAATATTTATCACTCTTGTTTGACCATATAATATGATTTTTACGTTAAGCAAAATATAGTCATGTAGGATCTTGTTGGATTTGTCTCATAAAATACTTTCACATATCAACTTTTTTATAATTTTTACTCTTAACACAATTATAGATATTTAGCATATAAAATGTTCTTTGGGATGCATAATTTCATCCTTGTTGCAATATTAATAGAAAGGAGGAAGTACTTTAATAGCAGGTATCACTTTTTCTTGTCCTCTGTTCATAAGACATAACTAAATACAGATGATTGGATTTCTAGTTCTCTGTTGCACTCTTGTTTAAATTTGCCTAGTATCATATCAAAAGTCAACTATTTGCCCTGGAATAAAATATTGCTTTCTTTAGTGACATTTCCTTAGGTTTCAGAATTACGTCTTTTCTCTTAACTATCCTATTTTGAACCAAGATGTTAGCTTTCTAATGTTATGATGTAATAGTCTTTCTGATGCTTGTAAAACTAATTCTGCAGTTCGATATTGCCTTCATATGTCTTGCTATTAATTACTCTGCAATCACATATTTATTGTGTGCCAAAGCATATTTTTTTAAAATTATATGCTAATGATATAGACTGTTTGTTCAGATATCTGCAAAGGTTTGACCCTGGATTTGGATTCAATGCTGGGCCCTATACTGTCCAACCTATGTACTCCCCGGCTGTTAATTATAATACTGAATTTCCTCAACTTGGCTCAACTCCTAGGCCTCAGATTTCTGCTGATCCACCTCGGCCACTCCCACAGCATTTACCTCCATGGGCATCTCCGTCTAACCCTGCAGGTCTCAGTTATGGTCATCCAGAGGCCATGATGGCTGCATATAGTCCAAATCATGTTAGTCCACGTTCTGCATCTACTATATATCTACATACCACTCATTACCCTTGTCAGCGTCCTGGAATGCCATTCATTCATCCTCATGAACATATTCACCAGTCATATCAGCAGGTATGCAATTATTCTCTATTTATATTTTGTAGTTGGGGAACAGGAGGGAAGAGAACGGCCCTTCCTGGGCATATTTTTGAGAAAGATGAACCAGTGAGGGAAATCACTGTCTCTACGGCTCTACCTTTACCTTTATTTAGAAGTAAATATACAATTATACTTGCATAGTCTAATGATGGTTAACTGGCCTTGTCTCCATGCTTGCTGGCTTCTTATGACTATCGTGAAGATTTTAGCTTTTGAGAGAGAATAATGGACATGTTGCTTTGATTGTTCGAATTTCATGTTTATTTAGTACATCTTCATGTGGTCAATTTGGCCAGGATGTTTGGGTTTATGATAGGTCCTTGTTGTTTAATTAGCAACTTGGTAAGACAAAAATATTGTTGGGGGGGGGGGGGAGGGGTCCTTGCTGTTTAATTAGCAACTTGGTAAGACAAAAATAGAGGGAAGGTTGGGGGGGGGGGTGAGATCTGACATAGTGGAGAATTCTGTTTTCACTTCAATAACAAACAAACTCTGTTGTCATATGGGAAGGGGGGGGGGGGGTGGTTGTTCTAACCTAGATCATGGAAGCATGGACATCTTATGTTTACAGAGGAAGATTTTAGCTCTGCATAGATGTTCTTTGTTTGTTAAAAGTGGGGTAAAATGAAGATTAAATATTTAGTGTCAAAGCTACATCAATGGGCCAACTCTGTTAAGCTCCTTTAGTATCAGGGTTTATAATTAAAAAATCTGATAACTTCCAACAAAAATTAATTGCATTTGCTTGTATAATAAAGCTAAATAGTATAAATTGTCATTCGTATCAAATGTAAATTTTTCAATGGCAGCTTTAAAACAAGTATATATGGCTAATACAATGATGTTGGAGGATATTAGAATGTCACATAGGAATTTGTTTTTGACCCAATTGACCGCTGATTGGTTGACAATTGTTTCTCTCATGGTTCTCCTATATTCTATTACTAGGTTAAGTCCCGTGCCATGCACGGTCATAATTAAATTTTACAACAAATAAATTACAAATAATGGTGTTAATTCAACATTAATTTATCTAGAAAAATTATTTGCAACAAAATAACTTGAATTTTAGTTTATACCAATACCAAATACTGAAATACGTAAAGGTTATTGAATTGGATTGTATAAAAAAATAATATAATAATAGAAATTTAGAAGCTATAAGGTTTTATCTAATAAAATTAAAATATTAGCTTAAATTTGTACCCATTTGCGAATTAATATACATCTATCCTTAAATTATTAACACATTTTCACATAAACATGAAAATTTATTTGATTTAATTTTACTGAATAATCAATATTTCTTAATCAATTTTTTTAATATATTTTTAGTGAGTAGTAGGAGTTTTTTTTTTTTTTTTTTTTTTAATAATCATATAAATATTAGAGTAATTAGATTAAATTTTCCAATATATGTTATGTATACTATAATAGAATGATTTTGTTCTTATAAACGTTATATAATTTTAAGATTTATATAAAGTATGCTACCAAATGATATTTTTTAATTAAAATAAATTTTATTGTCAAATGCTGAAAGCTTGAGAAAAAAAATTGATATTGATAATATTATAATAATCTTGGAAAATATCCTTCAAAATATATATATATATATAATTATCTTGGAAAATAATATTATAATACCTTATTTTTAATCTATCTTATTATTTATGTAAGTAAAAGTTTCCTAGTATATAAAATATATGTACAAAAAATTGAGTATAATGGGATTAAATATGTTGTTAAAATGGAAATAACTATTATTGTAGGTTATAAAATGAATGTCATTAAAAAATCGCAAAAAAAAGAAAAAAAAAAGGAAAGGAAAAAAGGCGGGAAATTTTTTAACCAGGATATGACAAGTGTCATTCCAGGTTTCGCCTTAAGTATAGGTTTATAGATTTCTCTCCATCTTTAAAGGTCTTTGTATCAAAAGTGTGTTTAGGTCAGTGACATAGAAACACCTTTTTTGTGTATCTTTAACCCCTCTCCTTTCAAAACGGAAATCTTTGGCTTATTTATAAACAATGTTTATAGGTTCCAACAAAAATTTAATTGGAGACAGGTGAGTTGACTTGAGGAGAGTTAAGTAGCATTGAGACAAATTCAGGGATCGCCGTATCCATATTCCATCTTTGTACCCAAAGTTTTGGAAATGGCTTGGGGATTATGTCCCCGAGTTGTCCCTAGTACGAGAATAACCACGAACTGGCATACCTGTGCTTCATATGGGGGAGTACCTGTTGAAACCATAGAGCACAATACACTCTGATCGTTACATATTAAACTAATGCCTTTGTATCTGGTTAGGAATCAAATATTGAAGGAATATTCTCTATACTGTTGTAGGTAGTGAATTATGGTTAAAATGTAATTTCATACTTTAGAGCTTTAGTTTTGGAAACTTAGCAGCGCTCGAAATAGCAGGTGACGAGTCTGACGACCTATGTGAGGGTGTTGAGGATCCCACACGGGTACTTTAGGTGATATTTTGATTTTGAATAGCATAGGTAGCCATAACACTAGTTAGTGATTTGATGCTGGTTAAAATTTAGGTGTCTTACCTGTGTGTAGGTCTTTGTAAAAATACTTCTTACATCCTCAAATTGTCTTGTATAAAATTACAAAATTTGATATTGTAAGGAAAGTGTATGAATGGTAAGATAAAAATGGTTTCGATAATGGAGAAAAAATAGTAGGAGAAAATTCTTGTAATTAGTTATACTTTGGCATTTTGTTCTTATATACTATTTGTTGTGCAATTTGTGCAGTCGCAACAGCAGCAACATGATGCAACCCTTGGATTTGCCCGGCCCCGTTGAGGGGCATGGGCAATGCCTGCACCCTGCCTGCTTGGAGTCTGAACTCCAAGGAAGTATGGCAGCACATTCTGTGAGGCAGGGTGCACAGGCATACAGAACTGAGGTGGGCCAGAATGATCTAAATTGGTTTGGGATCCTTTTTTAAACAGTTAGCTGGCCTTTTCTCAGTTCACATTTAGATTCCTTGCATTATTTGCGAGGGAGCTTGTGATTGGGACACATCTCAATCTGAAACTACCATTATTGATGATGATGATGAAAAACAAACTGAAAGCACGTTGTTACCTTGAGAGGCCTGAGATTTTTTCAGTTAAGGTATGCCAAGAATTGGTGCTTTCTATAACGTATAACTATAGGAGATGCCTATTACAATCCTTGAATATTTTCATATGGATATATGCTGTGATATGTTTGAAATACAAGTGTAATTATTTGCTGGATTTCATGCAAAAGAACTGTGCATGACAGGATTTTGTATTAACTACTATATAACATGCTTTTTTAGTTTGACATGAAGAATCAACTTAGGCCCTATTCCCCTTTTTTTTCAATTTATTTTAGGTTTTGATAAGGATCAATAAGGGTTACCCAATTTCATGATACAACTAATATGCGCTCTAATAAGTTTGTAATAGTCAATATTAGGTTAATAGAATGCATCCTTTTTTGCCCAACATTTTTTGATCAACGTTGTTTTAATAAATCTCATTTAAAATTGTTAAGAGGAGCTTTTTGCTAATGTTCCATTGATAATAATGTTTCTGGAACTTGAAATATTGTCTGGCTAAAAGGTTTTAAAGGCATCGGCTTCACTTTTTAGATATTCAAACATGCTTTATAAAAATATCTTTGGACTCTGGTTTCCTTGTAATTGTAATTACAAACTGATATCCAGCTTATCTTTCAATCTTTGTAGTAACCCTAGAAGCCTGGAGCAAAGTAAAACAGCATTGGGGATGTAATGCTCCCTGAATGTTGGCATGGAGCCATGGAGCATTTGGGTAAAGTTGTGTTCGTGAGTGCTCTCAATTGCTTGTGGAAGGATCAATATGATGTTAATATTAGCAGCACACGCCTTTGTTTTCGTTTGGATTCGAGTTGAGATGTTTCTAAATATATTGGATAGTTTATGTTCCTTTCAAATTCTTAATGTAGATAATGTCGTCACCGCTCTCTAAAATGCATTACTATTGAGCATCAGCCTAAATCTATTACGATGTTCCTATTATCTGCTCAATTTCAATTTCTATATTACTTTACAGAGAATAGGCGTTACTTTACATATTGTTCAACTGTTTGTCAATTGTCATCTTAAAATATCAAACTACTTAGGCCCCGTTCTTTTGAGATGTTCTACTCAAATTTGCGCTGTTCTATTTTCAAATAATAATTAATATTTAATAATGATAATTATTTCAATAATCTAGTTTTAATTTTAATCAATATTTATGTTTTATTATTATTTTTATGATTATTATTAATAGGAAAATTATTATTATTATTATAAAATATTATAGATCCCCTACAAATATTTTAAAAGAAACCTAGAAGTATTAAAATTATCAGATAGTAGAAGGTAATGAACTTGTAATATTTTATAATTTTATCATTTACAATATCTCACATCATAAATGAATTTGTTTATAAGAAAGTATTAAAGCGGGGATCCTAAAAAAACTAAATTACAGATTACATATCATAGCTTTTGTTAAATAGAAAACAAAAACTGGCCACATTTTCTACGTTACTATTTCAATTAAAGTAATGCGTTGCTATTAATAATAAAAATAATTATAATAATTGTTATAATAATTAAAATAATTAATAATAATAATAATATTAATAATAATAATAATAATAATAATACCAAATATATTTTGGAAAATGCTAATGAACGCCCCGGTGAAGGTAATAACAACCAAGATCAAAGCACCTATACCTAATAATAAAAATAATTATAATAATAATCGATCGGAAAGCGACAATGAAGGTGATAACAATCAAGATTAAAGCAACAATGAAGATGATGAGAATCACAATCATATGAAAGTGGATGGTTAATTCACCATGTTGTTAAACGCGAATCTAATTATGTTCTTATTTTGATATGCGGTTGTAATAATTTGAAGATGTTAAACTGTTGTCTTTTATCTTTCTACTATTAACATATGTTAAATATGATACACATTTATTTATAATAATAATAATAATAATAATAATAATAATAATAATAATAACAACAACAACAACAACAACAACAACAACAACAACAACAACAACAACAACAACAACAACAACAACAACAACAACAACAACAACAACAACAACAACAACAACAACAACAACAACAACAACATTAATAATAATAATAATAATAATAATAATAATAATAATAATAACAACAACAACAACATTAATAATAATAACATTAATAATAGTAACATTAGTAATAGTATTAATAATACTAACATTAATAATAGTATTAATAATAATGTTGAAATCTGCTCTGCTCGGCTCTGCTCTGCTATCTTTAAATCTGCTCTGCTCTGCTGAAATTTAATTTGCTATGCTCTAATCTGCCAGAAACTCAAAAGAACAGGGTCTTAGTCAGTTTGATAACTATGATTATGATCACCCAATTTAACCCTTTCATCAGGTTATCGGTTTTCGAGACTGAACAAAGAAAACACATTCGAAAGTTGGGAATATTAAAGAATGATTAAATGTTGGGATTATTTAAGTTAAATTGGGCAAAACAAAATTACACTGTAACTAATCTGCAAAATAAAACTAGTATTCTTTTTCGAGGAAATTCAAGTTATTCAAGCTGAGTAAGTAACAAGAATTGTTACTCAAGGGGCACGGTTGTAATTTTGCTTATCTAAGTAGGGGGTAAAATAGTCAGAAACTTAAATTGCTTTCTTCTTCATCTTCTCCATCTCATATTTCCTCCATTGTTGCCTCCTCCACCCAGCTTTCTCCATCAACACCTCCATTTCCACTATATAAGTGGTTAAAATTGCTCCCGCGAACAAGATGTTTCCCTAAAGGATTGATATGGCCCTACTTTACAATCTGTATTACTAAGTTTCGTTTTGTTCCACCGCGAAGCGGCATTATGGGCGTGAGAAAGGACGAAGCAGAGGAGTTCAACGGGGGAAGAAGAAGATCAGAGGTCGAAGGGCTTGAGAAAGGACAGAGGTCGACGGGCTTGAGAAAGATTGGAGAAGAGGAGGTCGATAGTGGTTGTTGTGATGTGTTGCGAAGAGATTGTGGCCGTGATGATGGTGGTGGCTGGGGTGGTTGTGGTGAACCATGACGCCGGCGGAGATAGATGAAGAAGAAAGCTGCAGCTTTGGAATAATCTGGGTGTAGAGAGATGAAGAAGAAAGGATTGCCAATTTTTATAAAATTGCCATTTGAGTGTTTGTTACCCAAATTGAGTAACCTGAGCTCAAATTGAGTAACATGAGCTCATTTTTTTTTGTTCTACATGTATTGTACAATACAATTTATTTATTTATTTTTTTACTAAGCAATAAAGCTCTTTTCATAATGAATAATATTCGTTATGTACTTGATTATGATACTTTTGCATCGTGCGATGATCTACGTGCACCGGTGCATGATGAGATCCACCATACACCCACCTACAATATGTAAGTTGGAGTGTTAATGATCATTTTGTACGAATGACCAATGTCACGAGTCCTGCTAGAGGGTGTCAAAGAGTTGCGAAACAAGTTCAAGTTAATTGGAAAACCTAGGACAAAGAGAGAATAACTATTCATATGAAAAAGTCATGAAAGCACCTGCAACGGGTGACTAATGAGCCTCCCCACAACACTCTCTCGTACTTTAAGGTGGAGCACCCACATGGGCGACTCCAGACCCTTCTCACAATACTCTCCCTCTTATTTTGAGGTAGCTTACTATTGTGAAAGGTGACTCATGGGGTGAGGCTCATCCCTCGTCCAGCATTGACCACCTTGACATATGAAACCAGTGACAAAGATGAAGAGGATAAGTGGCAAGTTTTCATTTTTATTCAATTTTTTTGCCCAATATTTACATTAAACAATTATTTTAATTGTAGTGAGCTAGCTCACTATTGTGAAAAAAAAATAAATGAGTGACTCACATAGTCATAATAATGACTCAAGTTAGAGGAATATGATGTGGAAGAATCAAAATTGGAGAGAGAAATTGTGAGCTACTCTACCAATGTGAATGCTTAGGTGACTTGTGAATGGGTCTTGAGGTGAGGCACTTCCTTCTTCCACTAATAACATTAGTCCGTGTGCATGAAGTTGATCTTTTCAATTTTTTTTGCCTTCTGATTGTACAAAACAGCGTCATTTGTTGCACAATTTTTTTTTAAAAATGATCTAATTTCTGATGTTGCTTCGAAAATTCAGCACAAAACAGATGTATTCACCTATGTACAAAGTGCAACACGTAAACATGGTAACTGTTTAAATTTTTTAGTTGTTACTCCGTACTATGCAGCATGCCAATATATTTTTCATAGTTTTAAAACGTCAAATATCTTATAACAATAATAAAAAAAAAAGCTTTTCAAAAAAAAAAATAAATAAATAAATTACTGTACTAATTTAATATTTTGATACATTTATTCATTTGGAAAATTTGACTTTTGCTAGCACTAAAATACACCACTTTGACTTTTGTTATTCATCTAAATTTTTATTTTATTTTACTACCACCTAAAAGCAAAAAACATACACTTTGTTGCCACATAAAAAAAATGGTTACTATATCTGTTAGTAGGGCTCAACCACCATCCAACCACCTTCCAGCCACCCCTCCCACCTCAGCCACCCTCACTATCCATCCACTTTCTTCACCACTGTGCAGACCAGCACTTAAATAGATGAACAAGTGGTAAAGGAATAGGTAAGAAAAAGAAAATACACATACTTCAACCATCATCAGCCGAGTAAATTTTAAGAATTTGAGATCCAAAATCGAGGCTATATATGAAGGTTAAATTTTGTTTTGGTTGTTTTAGATCTGAAATTGACGGCCTAATTTGTAAATCCTTGTATTTTTATACGTATTTTAATTAAAATAAGTATTTTGAGAAGTATTTAATTAAATTGAATTGTTTTATTTAAAGTATTTTAATTATTTATTTTAAATAAGTTTGGAAATATTTATAAAAGGAAAGTTTATTTAATTAATTTATTTAATTAAGTTGGGGTTTAATTTAAGGAAAGCTTTATTTTAGTAAAGTTTTATTAGGGATGTGATTAGGAAAAATTAAAAAGAGGAAAGTTAGGGAAAAAGGCTTTGTAGAGAAGGGGTATAAATATCCCACATATGAGGCAAATCAAAATTTTCCCAGATTAAAGAAAACCCAAGGTAAACTTCTCTCTCCTTTCTCTTTATTTTTCTTTCTTTTTCTTTCTCTTTTTCCCCTTCCCCTTTTCTTATTTTTTCAGCCCCCTTCACCAACACCTCCGACCACCAGCAGCAGATGGTCGTCGGCCGCCGGCAGCAGGCAGTCGCTGCTCTCTCCCCCTTTCGAACACACACACACACACATATAACTAAATTATGCCTAAATCTAATTGTTAATTATGAGTTTTGGGATTTGATTTTGATGTTTGATTATAAGTATTATGTTAATTAATTTTTAGATTATGTTTTTAATTAAAAAGCCCCAATTTTTGAAACCCTAGGTTCTTGATTTGTAAATTATTGAAGGGTTATGATGTATAATGGTTTAGACCTTTGATTAAAGTGTTTTAAGGCTTAATTACCGCAAGTTTTAATTAAAATATAGTGCTGAAATTTTTAGTAGAGCATTTAAAATCAAGTTTCTTTAAGGAATTTTAATTACTCATTAGTTGGGATTAAAGTATGATGTTTTAAATATAATTTCAGCTTATTTTAATTAAATTATGAGGGGTTTTATAATAGTTTATATTGCTGGAAATTTGTGTAGAGTGGATTTTAATACTCTTCTATAATTTTAAATTGTAGGAGACTTTGAAGTGAATGATTTTTATTAGTCGTGGCGATTCTAAGATCGTATACAAGGTACGTTTGTGTACTTAGCATAATTATGTTAATATAATAGCATGCTAAATGTGTTTGATTGATTACAAGTAGTATCATGCTAGGTTTGAATTGGAAATTGTGATTTGGATGTTATTGGTGATTGGATTATGAAGCATGATTTATTTGTGATGGATTATTGAATGGAAATTAATAGTTTAGAATATTATTTATGAACCACA